TATATATATATATATATATATATTTATTTATTTGTTTATTTATATACCTATATACATCCAGAAATGAACGTGTGGAAATCAGGGAAAATACAAAATGGAGTCACTAAAAGAAGTGGAAGCGAGAGGGGCTGTGTGTTGTTCTCATCTGTGCATGACGCCACGTGTGTCTCACTGTACCCGTTTCACGGAGTCCGGCACGCGTGCACATGCAGAGCTACAAGACAAATTACAAAAGGAACTCAAAGAGCGGAGAAACAAGAATCATTGTGCCCAAATCAACGAACATTCCACTTGCTTCTGAATCGCCCGGAAGGTGTGTGTGTGTGTGTGTGCGTGACTATATACACTGTCTTGTCTTTTCTTCTTGTTTAAAGGTTTGTGTTTGTGGTCGTTTGTTTGTTCATTCATTCGTGTTTTGATGGTATTTACTTTTTTTTGAATTATTTGCCGCATTTGGATCCTTCCAAACCCTGCAATTTCTCTACTTTTTTTTCACCTCCTTTTTGCCTGCGCATCACTGCGAGCACATAGGCACAAACAAAAGGCGGAGCGTCAAGGAGCAGGTCGCACTCGGCCCATTTACTGGATTCCTTCCTGTTTGTTGTATTCTTCAACGTCATCATTGGCCGCGGCGGGCAGTTGTGAGCGAAATGAAATGGGAACCGGCGGCCGCAGCGGCAAGGAGTGCTGTGGCGTGAGGAGGCGATGTGTGTGGCCGTCACCCTTGCCAGGCCACGCGGCCGCAAACACTTCCGTTGTGGCGGTTGTATATGCAGCTGCATAATTATGTGGCGGTGTGTCTGCATGCATATGCATTTGTCTTCCTCTGCCAGGGGGGGCTGCCTTGTTATACGTACGCCCCATCGTTGCACACGGACCGCTGGAGTCTGCTGGCTTCTTTGCATTATTTCTTGCTGTATTTCCGTTTTCATTCTGTTTGTTTGCACAAATACACCCCCACCCCCACACATATATACAAATTCATCTGGATTGCAGTATCGTAATATACCTTTGAGGCATATACAAGCTGCAGTGCTTCGGTCTGTGGTTATATTCCTGTACATAGACGCGCGCACGCAGTGACGGTAGTGAAAGGAATATAATGAAGGTCTTGGTCTGCGGTGGGGCAGGGTACATTGGGACCCACTTTGTGCGCTCGCTGCTGCGCCGCACGTCGCACACGGTCATCATCGCGGACAGTCTGGAGGCGACACACGGCCGTGCGGACCACGTGGATACAAAGGAGAACGCCGTGCGTAAGCAGAAGAGCGGCCAGCAGCAGGAAGGCGCAGCGGCAGAAGGACGCTACGCCACCCTCGAGGTGGGTGATGTCCGAGACACCGCCTTCCTCAACGATGTCTTCACGCGGCACACCCCCATCGACGCGGTTGTGCACATGTGTGCATCCATCGTTGTTCCTGAGAGCGTGCGTGATCCACTGCACTACTACGACAACAACGTCGTGGGCATCATCCGACTGCTGCAGGTGATGCAGGCGCACCACTGTGACAAGATCATCTTCTCCAGCACGGCCGCACTCTTCGGCAACCCCGCCTCGGTTGCGGAGGGTGCTGTGGACGCTGTGGACATGTCGCCGATCCGCCCTGACGCGAAGAAAAGCCCGGAGAGCCCCTATGGTGAGACGAAACTCATCGCAGAATGGCTGCTCAAAGACTGCGCACCCGCCTACGGTATCAAGAGTGTTTGCCTGCGCTACTTCAACGCATGCGGGGCTGATGAGGAGGGTGACATCGGCGAGGACCACGATCCGGAGTCCCACCTCATTCCACTCATCCTTCGTGTGCCGTTGGCCGACGAAATCAACAAGCGCCGCAAGGGGGCGCAGAAGTCACCGGTGGCGGATTTTGTGTCGATATTCGGCACCGACTACCCCACACCTGACGGCACCTGTGTGCGTGACTACGTTCACGTGTACGACCTCGCGTCGGCACACATTCTGGCGCTGGACTACTTGGTCAAGATCGGCTCCGAGGAGAAGCCAAAGTTCTTCTCCGCCTTCAACCTCGGCACCTCGCGCGGCTACTCTGTGCGGGAGGTGATTGAGGCGGCCCGCCGCGTCACGGGGCACCCAATACCCGCGAAGGAGTGTCCGCGTCGCCCTGGCGACCCGCCGGTGCTTGTGGCCTCCGGTGAAGAGGCGAAGGTGGCGCTGGGCTGGAAACTGAAGTACGACAACATTGAAAAGATTATTGCGTCGGCGTGGAAATTCCATCAGGCACACCCGGTTGGATACTCTTCGTAGTAAAATGGACAGAAAGACCCGAAGAAGAAATTGTTTTAAAGCAGCTTGTCTTTGTGTTCACCCTCCCAGCCAGGGTTGGAGCCATCAGTGTGTTGTGTTGTTTTCCTCTTGTTAATCACGTGGAGGTGAGGTTGGGAATACGGCACATGTGGTGCTGGTGACGCTGCTCTGTCGCCCCTTCTCTTCTTGGGTTTTGATGTTGGTGGTGGTGGTGGTATTGTCATCTGCCATTTGGGCGGCCAATAGCGTTCGTGGATAGGGAGTGAGAAGAGAAGTGGAACAAGGAGAAAGGCAATGGTGCTTGCAAGGGGTTGCATGCACGCGTCCATGTGTGTTTGGCGGCGCGCGCCCTCCCTCTCTGATGCTGCCGCAACACACGTTATCGCCATCCTGTGTGTGCGACGCACCCTGAATCATCGCTCACTGTCGCCTGACGATCCGTTCGGTGAACGCTCGGCGTCGAGCGATCCGTCGGAGGGCTTCTACTCGTCGTGGAGTGGCGTCGACCTCGACGCCTTCGCGAATGCGGCTGCGAGCGAAGAGGTGCGTACTGCGCACTTCGGCCCCGATTGGTCAAAGTTCACGACAGTTGGCCGGCTCTCTGTCAAGAAGATGAAGGAGCAGGGTACGCTGGGAGCTGCGAATGACGCTGCTGGTGTTACTCCTGGTTCCTCACACGGGAGCGATCGAGGCACGATGCCCCAGCCACTCACCAGGGAGGAGCTCCATGCACGAGAGCTCCAGGCGCGCAAAAAATCACTCGAGAAGAACTACAGCAGCTACGAAGAATACGTGGTGAAGGAACTTGGCATCGTCGGTGATGACGGGGATAACGAGGCGGCGGACACGTGTGTGAGCAAGCAGGAGGTGGGGATGGTGGACAAGGAGGAGGAAGGGGAAGATGACGAGGAGACTGTGCCCCTGCCACAGTTCATGGCGACTTTAGAGGTGCAGCGCAACGCGAGCAGTGATACGGTGCCGGGATCAGAAACCGGCACGCTGCTCGCTCGGCGGCGGGAGACGTTGCAGGTGCCGGACCCGCTGATGAGTGCGGTCCTCAGCGCACTGGGTGAACCACACGGCAACCCGCAGCTGCCCCGCACGGACCCTCTGCATTGGAACACGGAGGAGATTCTTTTGTGGGTGACGAAGATGGAGCAGGTGCGTCACTCCCTTGTATCTGCTGCTGCTGTAGCTGCTGTTGCCGTTGATCATGGTGGCAGTGGCGAGAATGAGGATGCAGCGGATGAGGCGCCAGTCATGCAGGATCCGTCGATGCAAGAGGCGTTCCACATGGCAGGCACAAACGGAGAGTATCTCCTGCACCACACTGTGCCGAATACATTGTTTCAGGTGATGCGGCGGTGGTATTTGCGACGCCAAGAAATCGCGCTGTTGGTAATGACGGAACATCAGAAGAACCACAAGAGTGGTGTGAATAGTTGCGGCGGCGGTGGTGGTGGCTGGGTTCCAGATGATGCCTTCGTCAGAACTGCTGTTGAGAATGGCAGGGCGAAGCTTGATGAAGCTGCAGCAAAGGTGACGCCGACGCTCATCCGGGAAACCATCTGCCAGTGTTATCCCTACTGCCGCTGAGAACGTGTGCATGTTGTTGTGCTACATCAGCTGCGCCTTTGAAGGGCAAGGACGCCTCTCGTCTAGACCAAGTTTGCCAAAAAGGGAAGGAAACACTAGTCCTGCATCATGGCTTGATTTAATCGTCGTTTCGTGTAACAGTGCTGAATTTAGTTGTTGTTTTTTTTGGGTTTCATTTGTTTTCGCTTGGGAAGAGAAGAAAAAAAAAAAAGGGATAGGGGTCCTGCCTGTATTAGTGAAGCGGATGGGGGACTCACCGACGCCGTGGGACCACATCAACCGGTTCTACCACACAACACGCAAGCCCATTCAGCTGCTCGTCGCGTACCACGCCGATGCTGCCGCGGCGTCGCTGACGCTGACGGCGCTGTTAAAGGCCTGCTTCATCCCCTTCAACCTGCACCCTATCGCCGAGTACGCCGAAGCAAAGAGTGTGATTCAGCGCACGAGCCTGGCGCAAGACGCGGAGCNGCTCGGCGACGAGCCACCAGTGGACGAGCTGTTCGTTCTCCTCGGCCTCGGCGCGCCCGTCTCGCTGCGATCCTTCTTCGACCTCCAGCGGCACATTGTTATCGTGCTCGACTCATACCGACCGTTTCTCCTCGACAACCTCCGCGCGGACGACGACGCGCGGCTGGTGGTGTGGGGACGCGAGCGCGTCCATGAAGAGGTGGAGCAGTTCTTCCGTGAACAGCGGCAGCGAGAGGCGGCGCGTGCACGGCGGCGGCGGCGCCGACGCGCACGCACGAATCAACAGCGCCAGCGCGCCTACGAAACGGCTGACGCAGCGGCAAGTGAGGGCAGCGACCTTGACAGCAGTAGTAGTGATGATGATGATGACGACTACGACGAAAATGACGAGATGACGCCCTCGCAGAGTCAGGAGCGGCTCGACTGGCTGAACGAGGATGTGCCGGCACATCTAGAGGAATTGTACTACGCTGCGGAGTGTGCGGGGAAGAGCTGCGCACTGGAGGCATACGACTTAGCGACGCTCCTCAACCGCGTCAAGGAGCCAGTGCTGTGGCACGCCGCTGTGGGAGTCTGTGATCTGTTCACACGTCGTCTCATCGATTATGGGACGTATCTTGTAGAAATGCGCCGGCTGCACAATGAAGTGGCGCTGCGAAAAGGCATCCGCCGTGGGCCACTAGATGATGTGACGGAGGAAACGGTGAATAAATACCACAAAATAACATCTAGCAATACAATGCAGCTTCTCAACTTTGATGAGGACCAGCTGTTCCTGCTGCGCCACTTCTCGCTATGGGATGCGATGTGGTACCACCCGGTGGTCGCGAGCATTCTCGGCTTGCACCATGTGGAGGATGGCGTAGGTACACTCCGGCAGCTCCTCGCACGCTGCGGGGTCTCGGCAAAACTGGCGCAGCAGCCGTGGCGTGAGGTCCCCGATGACGACAAGGCCGAGGCGAAGCGGCTCTTGCACCATGAGCTCAAACAGCTACTGCGAACACGCGGGAGCTTCGTTAAGAGTCCCTCGCAGATTCGGTGTGTGGCGCGCACCGTCGGGTACAGCGTCGAAGTGTCGACCTTCGACGTCTGCACGCTCTTCACGGCGCTGCTCGCGAAGGTGCCCCCAGCCGCTCCACACACGGCAGAGCAAAGCGAGGCGTCCGCGCAGGAGAAGCTGCGCGAGTTCCGGCGGGAACAGTTCTGGTGCGCGCACGACATCGTCGACGCAGACCCTAACTCGAAGGCATTCGCCGCGGCGGTGCAGGAGGCGCACTCACTGCAGGAGGCAGTGGCGGCCGCCACCAGCGCCCTGATGCAGCCGGGCATGATTCAGAGCACCAAGGGGATCCACTATGCGCAGCCAAGTGACGCGACGAACACCTCCACCGCGCTGGAGACGTTCAGTTCTCCGCTTCGCCTCGCCGCGTTGGCGGAGCGGCTGCTGTACACGCTGACTGTTGAGCGCGGACTGGGGAAGTACACGCGTGATGTCCGCCCGGTGATGCTATGCTGCCCGATTCCCCACTCTGGCGCGTTGACTACACAACAGGAGGAGCAGCAACGACAGTTGATGCAGGCGGAGGAAACATTTGTTGTTTTATTTGCCCACGAGGGGCCCACAACTGCTGGATTGGCACCGGTATTGCCCGTTGCTCGATGGAACGACTGCGTGACGAACACAGAGGACTTTCTTGTGCCCCCGTTGCGGGACTATGTGAGACGTGACACGGTTGTCGTGGAGGGGCGCGAGTCTACCGCCCACTTGGCGGAAATGCTCCACCTCTACTCATTGGCAGGTGGTCGTTGAGGGGAGATGTACCCATCTATTTTTATCTATAATTGGACTCATACAAGTTGTTTATAGACATACACACGACAAGCCTTCTCTCTGTCGTTGTTGTCTTCGTATGCGGGTGTCTGCTTGTTATAGGCATCTACATTGAAGACATATTTGCCCATCTTTGAGACACTGAATATTTATAGAAGTGAGTGGCGTTGTGGACTAGTTAGACACTTGGCGGGGCGTGGTGCGCCTGGCTGATAGAAATTCTCCCGTGTTGTGGTTTTTTTTGTGTTTTTCAATTAACTGCTCCTTATTTACTTCGCGCCACTCCTCTTCTTAAGGTGGTATACCACGATTTCAAATGCGAAAGAATGGGAATGTGTTGAGCCCCCTTCTCCTGTTATGTCCCTTCTTGCTCTGAAGCACACTCATCCATTCGCACTCTCTGCTCTGTCACCTCCAGCACTAGAGTAGGTGCACACCGTCGCGTCTTTCAAGCGCGGCCCTCTTTTCTGCATCGCAGTTAGTGTAGAGCCAAAAAAAAAAGGATATTGAGTGCGAGGAGCCAGCCCACCCACACCGAAGGGCTCCTGCTGACTACTTGCAGTTGCCGTTGTTTGCGCGTTTGTGTTCATTTTTTTTTTT